TTTTAGGAGGGCGTGGACGAGTCTTAACTTTTATAAAGAATATCTCTTTGGGTTTGAGACTTTAGTCTTTGCAACTTTAGGGATCTCATCTATTCACGAACAGCTTGTAACACTCCAAAGAGAAAGGACAACTTGAAATCGCATCATATGAGCCCTTTAAACATTGTTCTTTAAAAATTAAATTAAAATCATTGACTTTTGGCTTCTTCAGAAGCAAATACCATCACTTATCAACCTTAGAGCTCAAGAGCAGTCTGTAGTATAAGATGTATACTTTAATGTAAAAAATACATTTCTGTATTGAGAATATAAATGGGATATTTTAGTTCAGAAACTACTGTTGCACTCTACTGTCTAGATTTTTTTTTTTTTTTTGCATACACCAGTCACATACAATGTTCAAAACCAAAAAATCCAGACAAAATTAGTACTTCAACAAGAATGAATGACAAACCGAAGGCTTTCATGGACTCCACGAGTTTGATGGTGAAAGACTGATCCTTGGGCAGCTCCTTCAGCATTCGCGCCACTTCAAAATGCCGCATTCCAACGATGTTCTTTCCATTAATGCATTCGACATGATCTCCCACACAGATCACCTTTACCCCATCCACCACACTGCCCTCTTTGATACGCTGCCAAATGGAAAAACAGATACGCTTCATATTTAATAATAACTTTTGTTAACATGTTAAAGTAGCAATTGAACAAATGCATTTTTGGCATACTTTTAATTTAACCACTAACTAGGCTTAAAATAATATGTATAAAGAATTCAAAAAATGGGTCTAAAACTCAACTAACACTTTGCTTTGAAGATACAAATCCAGCGTTCAGAGTACTACAGCATGTGATCTTACAAACACAGGGTGGCGATCTTAATTAAATGATTAACTTTTCTCAATCAAAGCCTGGCTAAAAAGAGATTAAATACCACTTTTATTTGTGCACAGGGATATCTTACAATTTACAGAAAATCATAAAATACTCTTCAAGCACTAAATTTGTTTACTTTCAGAAACATGCAAATCATTGTCTGTACATGGGCAGTGCTAGTACTACAAGCTATGAGCTCTGCACTTGGAAAACGAATTACACTGCTAAAGGGGTGGCATCCCAAAATAACACCCTGATCTAACAAAAGCGTCATTGTGAGTCTACCTTTATGAAGGCGTATCCAGCTCCATTGTCTGTGATGGTGAGCCCAAGTGCCTCCTCAGCTTTGTACACCTCCACCTCCTTTTTGAGGCCTTTTATGTGAGCGAAGATGAAGTCCTCCAGTCCTATCTGCCCTCCCAGCAGCTTTTCCATATCAATTTTGTGGGTGTTGAGTGTGCAAAATAGGATCTGTTGTAATACATCGAGAGGAGAGTTTCAACTATAATGAGATGGCAGGTTTTAAAGTCAGAGAACAATGAGAACATTTTAGGATTTATGCAAATGTACTAAATTTAGTTTAGTAGCTGATCCCACAGCCAGAAATATGAAATGTTCATTTGCTGTTTAAAGGATCATGAAATGAAGAATCAAAATGTTCCTGATATTTACACGTATAAAATGTTACTCTAGAATAAAAGCATACTGAAAGTTTCAAAACTCAAAAGTAACTCCCCAGTTTAAAGGTATGCTTACATGACAACAACGTAGTAGAAATTGTATTATGTACAGATGACAACACTGAATCTAGTTCACACGGATCAGTAAAAAAACAAAAACAACTTTTTCTCAACATGCCCATTAATGTGCGTCATTGATGTATGTATTCATAGAGGTGTGTTTTCAACAACTCATATCTGTCCATTAATCACAAGAGCAATACTGCTGTTAGGTAAAGAAATACCTTTATGGTGCAAAAAATAATATAAAAATTTGAAACCGCATTTCATGACCATCACATCATAACCTGTGATTGTGTGCTCATGTACATATGTTCTTTGATTGTTTTTGTTTTTAATGAGAACAAAACATTATAAGCGCACCTCAGGAAACATTAGAAAATAATTTAAAAAATGCATTTCATGACCCCTGTAACTTCACCAAATATACTCTAACATTTTTAAAAGATAAATCAGACTGCACTGAAGTATTAAAGCTTTGTGTTCACTTGCAAAGGCACTGAAATATAGTTTTTCCTTCCTCCTACCTCAAAAATGTTATGATGGAAGTCATCATAACATTTTTGTGAGCAAACAGAATGCTCAGGGAATGCAAACATTTTGCTTGAGAACGTGACAGCATTAAAATATTATTTTATTATATTATTATTTTCGCTTGCAATTTTGCATTCCCCAGAAAAACTTTGGGTAACACTTTATTTTGATAGACGTTTTACTAAATAAAAGTAACTTTGCAATTACATGCCAACTATCACTCTTTAGAGTATTACTGGACTGTCTGCTTAATATCTGCTAACACTTTATTGTGATGGTCCCAAACACACACTCTACTGACTAGAAGTAACTCTGCAAATACGTCAACTTATTCTATTATAACCTAACAGTCTGCTGATACTGCTTTAGTTGCCATGTACTTGCAAAGCTATTTATACTTAGTACTGTAGAATGTCTAAAATGGACTATCGAAATCAAGTGTAACCAAACTTTGCATTCACTGAAAAACATGTGTTCTCTTGAAAACCTATCCAGAGAAACTGCAAAACGTCTGCATTTTCTCACTAAAGTGTTGCATTCCTCTGAAACTTTGCTTTTACTCACAAAAGCATTGCAATACAGTTTTTCCTCCCACCTCAAAAGTATTTATAAGAGAGAATACAAAACTTATTAATTCATTCGCAAAAATTAATTTTTCTCCCATCTCTCTCTCTCTCTTTTTTTTTTTTTTTGCAAAATAAGCATATTGATTTCTGAGATTATAATTGGATGCATTTAAAAAATATTTATTTTTTGACTATTTTTGTTTTATTTAATTGCAATTTAAAAACAAGATTTAACAAAACAGTTTATTTATTAGTTTTACAAAAAAAACGTTAAAAATGCAAATGAACAATTTATTCATATATGAGATTATAAGTGGATGCATTTAAAAATGATTTATTATTGTATTGTATTGTTTTATTTAACTGCATTACTAATCAGTTTTACGTCTATTTATTTCTTCAATTTAAAAATTATTTAGTAATTTATTGTTTTATCTTAACTACATTTTAAAACTTTTTTTTACAGAAAACTATTAAAAATATTTATTTTTGACATTATAATTGGATGCATTTAAAAATGATTTATTATTTGACACATTTATGGTTTTATTTAACTGCATTTTAAAAGATGAATTTACTGAATGTGTCTTTTTATTTTTAATTTATTGTTTTATTTTAACTACATTTTAAAACTTACAAAATAATAATAATAATACATAAAAATGCAAAATAACCATATTTATTTCTGGGATTATATTATTTGACTAATTTATGGTTTTATTTTAAAACATGTATTTCAGATATATCAATTTAAAAATGATTTATTAATTTATTGTATATTTTAACACAATAAATAAGCAGTTTTAAATTCCATTTTTGTGTTTAAATTATTAAATTGATGGCTGATTCCTTCATTTTATTTTGATGTGTCCTAGATTATAGCGTGCTACTCGCTGAATTAAACACGATGTCATGCGACAACAATGTATCATACAATTGTTTATGTGTTGTAGAATAAAAATGCATTTCTTTAAAATAGTATGCAGTAGAATGTGTGCAGTGTGCATGCAGTAAGATTCCTGTTTGATTGATGGTTATTCTGAAATGAGTTTCTCTGACCAACTGATGTCGTGTTCGTCTCCGTCTCGCAGCACGGATCTGATTTCAGCTCGACAACGCTCCTGATGATCCTGATGCATTGCCAGGTTGTAGAAGATCCAGGAGAGCGCGCTGGCGGTGGTGTCGTGACCTGATGAAGACGCCAGTGATGCTTCATCATCCAAACACACACAGAACCAATGAATGTGAGCGCTAGACTCACCGGCAAACTTAAGGCCAGTGTCCAACAAAAATATTACCTTTCAGAACACAGAGTGCAAAAAGAAAAATATGATTACCAATAAAATTTCCCTGTATTTAATCAAAAGGAATTAAAAGAAAATCTATCAGGACTGTACAACTTCTTCAGCTCCCAAAATTATGTCCTACAACTGTCCAGTTGAAAAACATTATTCCAGTACAACACAGTGTTTCTCTTAAAGATAACAACATATCAAAAAGGACACAATGAATTAAACATTAATTAATAATAATAATAATTTGTCCTGTAAGAGTTTCAATTAATCCAGTAGGATCCTTTTTTATTTTCATTTATGATCCAACAATGATTGCTTTGGATTGTTTCCAAATTACGATAAAATTGGAATCCTGTACACCTATATATACATTTCACTAGGTATTACAGTTTGTTTATCAAAAAAAAAATCTGATTTAAAAAATGTGTTACATTTTCAGCAACAAGTTTATCACTTAACGCATTTCACAACATTCTCATTTCACAGAATTTCTCCCTTAATCAATGCAGAAAATGTGAAAGAAGTGCAGATTAAAGGAAAAGATGCATTTAAAATAATAGTTTTAACCATCTATTATGCAAAATTAAATAAAATATAAAATAAAATAAAATATAAAAAAGTTTCCATCCAGTGTTGTATCATTAAAAAATACTGGGATATACACAATTTAATACTTATACAAAAATGCAAGAAGAATTTAATACTTATACAAAAATGCAAGAAGAACTTATGCTATTTGTTAGGCTATTTGCTCTGCCGCCCAGGCCTTTCCATGATGCTGCCTATCCAATAACAGTGTTTTGTTGACCTCCAAATGCAGACATCCACACAGACAGATGGAGTCACCCTGGTGTCAGTCATCTAGAAATCTGGCATCATGTCTTTCACCGTGACTTCCTGGCAGCAGCAAGGAAACATGAGACCTGGCAACCTGAGACCCCAGATTTAAGGTTCACAGCTGATGAGTTCGGCCAGTCAACACTTGGTGAAAACTAGTAGTATTATATAACGAGTCAAGAAAGACTAAAGTATTCAATTTGTTTAATGATAACTTGATTGTAAACATGTACAAACACGCACATTTTCTAGGTAAGGACAACCTTTGGACACAATTTGATGAGAGATGTAAGAGAAAAGATCAGTCCATATCAGCTCATTATAACGACCTTTGGTGGAACAGCCACTCCAACAAAGACGACTTGTTTACTCCCCCTTTTGTGCACTGCGGGCACCTTGGACACACATCAGCTGACATGCAAACGAGACTGTTGCCCTGGTTACCGGAGCCTATCAAAAGGCCCGGGATTAAGAGGGAGCTTTCGTAGGGACACGAGGGGGGAAGGAGAGGGCTGTTGGCTACTAGACGGCCAGCTTTGCTTCGCCCTGGCAGCCTGGGAGGCGGATCTTTGCCATATCAGTGGGCGGATTCACAGACACCTACACTGCGTTACCAAGGCTGCGACTGACATCATGCTTCCTCTTACACATCACACATTTTTAGAGACACAGGACGTCCTCAGCAGCTACGCCGTGATGTACCCGCCCACATCGAATGAGAAAAAAAACCTCCTTCAACTGGCAAATGTTTCACCTTCGATACGAGGCACACCCACAGACAGGATTGCGACAGGCCAACCTTTGCAGAATCGCATTCTTGAGACAAGCAGGAAGTCAACTGAGCTGATCAAAACAATCTTGTCAGCCAATATAAAGGATTATAGTAATCTACTACAGCACTTCTGAGGAAATAAAGTGAGATTGTGGAACAAATCTCCATTTTTGGTTGGATAAAGAGACGGAGAGGCCTGTTTCTTTGGCAACCAGGTGCAATTATGGGGTCTTAGCAGGGCAATCTGCTCTAATTACAATGAATGAATGAATGAAAGAGCGGCGCCTAAAGATTAAGCGGGCATTAATGTGAGTCCAAAAAAAGAACAAATGTGATGTATACAGTGGGTTGGGGGTTTGAAAGATTAACACAGTTTAACAGGTCAAAATGCTGAAGCAGCCAGGATTAACACCACATGAACATGTTTGTTGATGAGGTGAAGAGAATCATCAAATCATTCATTACAACGACTGACTAACCAGCTAGCTTAAAGATTACTGCATAAATCCATTCACAACAGCAAAATAAGACTCATCAACATTTTTCCATAGGTAATCATTAACATTTCTGAGGTAAAGGATGCTTTCAAAACTTCACTGTTTACGCCCTGTCAATGAAGAGTGTCGAACGCGCCAGTGAAATTCTCAATTGGGTCAACTTTGTTTTTAACATACTTAACATGGCACCTGTTAAAGAGAACGTTTCCTTTAAAAATTACATTTCTGTCATCATTTACTCACTGGCATTTCAAACCTGTATGACCTTATTTATTTATTTCTAAAATTTTCAGTTTCAGATGTCCATACAATGATGGTCAATGTGGTCCAAAACAACACTGGACCCTGTTTACTTTCACTGTATGCAAAAAAAAGAAAGAGAAAAAAAAGTGAGACATTTTTGAAAATAACTTCTCTTGTGTTCCACAGAAGACATAGCCTACAGGTTTGGAAAGACATTAACAACATTTCTGGGAGAACTATCCTACTGTGGTAGCCAAATAAATGGCATGTTTCTGCTATTTTTTCATCAAGTAAAGGTAACAATCCCATCTAACATCTATATGATAAAACGTGTTTGTTCAAAATACACAGACTGAAGTCTGAAGTTACAACATAATCATCTAAACGGGTTTCAATAGAGGCGCGACTGAAATTGTGTTGTGTTTGAATACATTCCATTCAGCTGACAACAGCGAGTACATACTTAAAGGACACGTTACAATACTGATAAATTATATTCCTTATAATGACCCTGAGTGGGATCAGCCTCTGCTTTCAGGGTGACAAGTATTGCAACAGCTCCCTCCATCCCCTGGTGGGGCTGGAGCGATTTATCATCATGTGTTAGGGTTGTGCCCACTGTAACAGGATGTGAGGGACTTCCTCTGAGGACCTGCAATAAACCCACCATTTCAACATGCAAATAATTAATGGTACATTTCTAAAGAAAATGTGCTGGATTGAGGTATCAGCAATGGTTAAAATTCACAAGGCCACTGAGTGATTTATATTCAGATTACTATCAAATCCATATGTTAGCTGATCTTTAAACACCACACACCTGATAGGTCTGTCCAAACAGTCCGGTAACTAGTCTGACTGGTTTTTAAGATGAACCCCCTTAAGTGCTTTAAGTAGAGCAACTATTCTAGGAAACTTTCTCAAATGAGGACCAACTGATACATGAGAGGCCAGACAACACTATTCACTGACACTCTGAAGAATAAAAGTTTCAATTACAACCAATAGGATTTTTAACACCTGATGCATTAGGAGAATCTTTTCTTACTCAATACTTTTTAGCTTTCTATCGCTTTAGAAAGTATCTATGCACTGCTTTAAAGCACCCCGAATCGAATACACTGAACTCAAAAGCCTATAATGCTATATCAACAACTATTTTTAATCTCAAATAACCAGACTCTAATTTTTAGAACCGTCTAAGTTCCAAATACCTAATTCCAAGAACTTGGATACATCCTTGGGGGAAAAAAATAAAATCATCCAGTGAGAATAATTACAAACATTTCCAACCCAATCCTGAGAAAACAACTATTTTACAGGGTGGTGGTTTCATTTGAATTTGTACGAAATTTGTACAAAAACATACAAATATACAAATAAGATGTGAATTTTAAGATATGACTTAGCCACCAATTCACCAAATTGTAAAACATTTATAAATTGCAATGAGAGTGTTGGCATTTCACCTTAAAGATTTTATTACAAATATTATAAGCTAAAAGTGAATTATGTGGTGCTTTTTAAAATCATGTATATGGGTCAATGTTATACCACTTATCATTTTTTATATAATCTATTAGTAAAAATTACATTAAGTAGTAATGCAAATAACACAGATATTAACTTCAAAACACAGGAACTATGCCAATGATTAAACTAGAAAAGTTTTTTGAAGAAGCAAATTCTTGAATAAAAATAAAGAAAAAATGTTGTTGCTTTTATTTTAAGGATACAAAAGAACCATCAGTGTGTTGTAACCATAATACAGTAAATCTATCATGTATCAAAAACATCATATAACAGAGACGACCCTTTAGACCCTAATGACTGTCAAGGTCATTACGTCCAAACCTTTTTATGAAAAGGTTTTGTTAAGTTCAAATGGATTAACAATAAGAAAACTTCTTGGTATTTATGACTTTTGTATTCACGATGTTTGCAAAAATATTTAGCTTCTTAAAAAAAAATGTGCATGAAAATTGTGTTCATAGTAAGTGGTGTACACCACTTGGGTGAAATTAAGGTCTGGGTAAAGTATTTTAGAACGTTCTACTTGGTGATTACCACCACGTTTTCCCAAAAACAGTATGGATAAAAAAGTATATATATATATAAATATAAAATTCTAAGCACTTGGCACATGTTTTAAACTAGATTTTTAAAAGATTTTCGTTTTTATCATATCAAATACACCTATTTGCCATTGACCAATTTTCATTATTTAAAAAAAAAATTCCACTTTCAGAATACAACCTTATTTCCAGTGTTGGGGAAAGTTACTTTTAAAAGTAATGCATTACAATATTGCGTTACTCCCTAAAAAAGTAACTAATTACGTTACTTAGTTACTTTTTATGGAAAGTACTGCATTACATTACTTTTGCGTTACTTTCGCGTTACTTTTTAAATATGAGCAGGGCTTGATCGTTTTTAATATAAGAAGTTCTATTTATAGCAAATATAAAAGCCCTTTCACACCAAAAAATTTTAATGAATAAACCTCAGGCTGAAGCAAAAGTAAATTCAGGTCTGTACAGTAGAACGCAGGAGAAGAAACACAATGAAGCACAATTGTTAGTTTATCTAAAGTCATTTTTGCTTATTAGTATGGTTGAACTGGATCATCAAAGGTCAGCAGCAAAGACATTGGTTAATAAAATGGGATTAAATACATTTGTGTTATTTAACATATTTAATCATTGCAGGTTTGCGTCATATTCTGAGTTTGCATTTCACTGTTTTAATTCATTTTGATGAATACTAAATGTGTTTTTTGTGAGTGGGATGAATTAATGCACATTCACATTTAGTCTAGAACTACAGTAACATCATGTTCACAGAGCACACAACTCCTCTGTACTTCCGATTTCTCCCAATATGGGTACAGGAGAGCTGTCAGTCAATAAATGGGAAAACAAAGTAACTGGCGTTACCTTTTTGAAAAAGTAACTCAGATATTTTCTTGTAAATTAAAAAAGTAATGCGTTACTTTACTAGTTACTTGAAAAAAAGTAATCTGATTATGTACTCAC